ACGTAATCTTTATAAATATTACTTCTTAATTTTATCCCTAACAGTCATATTGCCTTTATAAAGACCTCAGGATATAATCTCTTGAGGTTTTAACTGCATCCATGTATGAGTAGCTCACACTATCTCTAGATGAAGTACAATACAGGATTTTTTTCTTTTTTTAGTGTGTGGTGGATAGAAGGAGTGATTGAGATCCTAATAAATTACCAAAGCATGCATTTTTTTTAAAAACAGTCTATCAAGCTTTATAAAAGCCATCCTTAAAGCTGGAATAAAAATTACTAAAAACAGGGGCTTGCCCAGTGGTGTAGTGGTTAAGTTTGTGGGCTCTGTTTCACAGGCCTTGGTTTTGCAGGTTCGGATCCCAGGCACAGACCTAGCACCACTAATCAAGCCATGCTGTGGTGGCATCCCACATAAAATAGAGGAAGATTGGTACAGATGTTAGCTCCAAGACAATCTTCCTCAAAAAAAATTACTAAAAACAAAATTTCTTTGGGATTTCATAAAGCTTCTATTGGCTCTGGAATTTTTTTTCAAAATTGAGGTCAATTTTCTATTAGTATTTGAAGATATGAGTTAAATACAATATATTATCAATTAACTTTACCTGTTTCTTTTTACTCTTTTAGATTGGCCTTAGGTAGGCATGCAAAATCTCTTGGATTCAATTCCATACACAGGAGGTTATATTAGAGGTTCTAGGCCACTCATGAGGTGTGGAAGGACCATAGAAGTAGCACATTGGCCAATGAACTTAAAGGAGTTTTGGACTGGGATTTAAAGAAAGAGAATTCAAGACCCTGATGACTGGAGAGTGTGGATGCAGAAGGACTGGGTGCCAAAAATGAATGCCTTTATGGGAATTGTATAAGTTAAAGAAATTGGAGGATGATGATGGACAAGTTAGCTCCTCCCAACCTCCTTAAATTTGGATTGATCATGCAGAGATAGGATGAAAAATGGGAAAAGGTGACATGATCTTGAAATGTCAACTTTAAACCGAAAGTAGCTGAATGTACTTTAAAATGACAAGATTATGTAAAAATGGAGGGCCCTCAGCTAAGTTATAGAGAAATAAAGAATAATATAATTTTGCACATCTGGGGTTGTGATTATAAAATCATACCTCATCTCAGATATAAAAATTTAAAGAAATTATTAAAGAATGCTTTAACCCTCAAAATGTCTTGGCTTAAGTTTTGGATTCAATGTGGAAGAAGAATATTATCCTGTCTGAAACTGTTATTTGTCCTAGAAAATTAAAACAAATTATTTTGTTTATTGCCCAGCTCCAGGTTATTAATCCAAACAATATTATGACTAAGTCAAGAGGCAAAGCTTCAGATAAAGCCTTGCAATCTGAAATCACGCAAATTATTTCCGTCAAATGATTATGAAGCTTGAATTTAGCAGAGCGTCTGGCAACAATAAGCTGGGAATAAATGTTATGATTGTCCTTATTATTGTTATTACCCACCACTCCTAACCAGTTTAGGAGGGAAGGAGAGCATTCAAGGGGACCCTCTGGTCTCACCCATATACCTTTTCCTGATAATGTTGCAGAAGGAGTTGGAAGCAGGCTTTGAGAGAGAAACTTGAATTTGCCAAATGATCTCTTATACTGGAGTTTCTGTTTTCCTTTGTTGAATACTGATCTGAAAGCCACAGCACAGTCCCTATGTAGCAGTGGTGAGGGAGAGAACGGGCAGCTGATGGACACACATGTTTTAATCAGTCTTCAGTTGTATTAGTCCTAAGGTGCCTTGAACTCATCGGGTGATAAAGTCAACCCTTTGCTTCTATTTATAGTCATGTTAAAAACTGTTAGTATAAAAGTAAATTTCACGGACAGGAGGATTACAGTAATATCTCCATTCTTTCCTAAAACAACTAAATTTCTGTCTGTTCCAATTGGTATTTATGCAAGTGTGTCTGTGACAATTTACACACTAAATGTGATCTAATAGCTCTACTGAATTTTAGACAGAATACTACTGTAAAGATCTACTGTATTAAAAATATTTGCATATGGCATTGTCCTATTCTGGAAATTTATGAATTTTAATGAAGTTGGTTAGATTTTATAGCCCACAGTTATAATTGTTCATAATCCAGGAATATTATTTAAAGGGAATTGAAATTATATAAAAACACTTAAGAGCAGAATTATATCTTCAGCTTTCCTATTACTTTTTATATGTTGATTATTAATTTCCCATAATAATTGAAAGAATACTTAATTGTTTAAGATGAAAACTGTACCTAGCTTTGTAAATGTGTTTGTAAGTTAGCATGTGAACAAATGTATCCTCATGATAATTTGTGATTTGTCAAAAAACAAACAAACGAACCTGTGAAGAAATGTGTACTCTGGTCTACCACTGTAACCATTAAATAGCTGTTTTCCTAAAGCAAAACAACAACAAAAAGAATACTACGTAATTGTAACAAATAGTTGATGAATGGTGACAATAACTAGGCTCCAAATTAACAAAGTACATCTACTTCCATGTAACAAAAAGTACCAATTTATGCATTAAAAAATGGAAAATTAAGTTTTGGAAATTTATTTTAGAGTATTTTACAAACTGGGTAATTCCAGCAATCCCCTCACTGCTCCTTCTCCTTCTGCAGTAAACACATTACCAACTATTCTTTTTAATTTTCTTTGTTTGTTTTTTCAGTTCAGTTGAACACCGGTTTATTTCTGCATATACAAAAGTCAACAAGAGGCATTAGTGGTCCTGAAAAGTTTCACAATTAGTGAGGAAGATTATTTGTTTGCTCATTTATGCTTGCTCCAAAGTGTACCAAAAATAATTTGATTTCCTTAAAAAGTCCATTGTAACATTATAACAGGATTATAAAACAGGTAAGAATGATGAAGGGGAGAATAAACAAGAGTAGGCACATAAAACGTAATTATAAATAAGATTTGTGCATTATATGCATTCAATGAAATCTTAACTACTTGGTAAGATGCGTATAAACTTATAAAAATACAATGTGTAATTAAGTATACAATAAAAAAAGTGCAAAGTAGAGCTGTAACAGAAGGAGGATGTAATGTGTAACTCTGTAGCTATTTTTTTTTGAGATTTTAGCTAAATGAAAGATTTTCTAGAAGAGATATCTGACTTCAATTTCGAAGGAACAGGGAGAAGAGTAGACACATGTAGTGGGTGGAATAATACAGGCAAAGTTTTTTAGGCATGAAACAGCATGGTATAGAATAGAGCAGTGTATTTGGGAAATCAAATGCTGCATTATAAGTAGAAGAAAGGGTAGGTAGTGTCCTTGGTGAATGTACAACTGGCCAGATCTACTGTGCATAGCCTTTTGTATTAGAAAAATACGGATAAAGAAGAACCTCAGGGACCCAGGTTTGAGATGATGGTTTAGTTGAATAATTGTGAAAAAAGATATGAATTAATTACTGTTATTGTCAAGTTTTTATTGGAAAAAATAACCCATAAAAAGTAGGGAGAATAGTATAGTGAACTTCCAATTATTCACCCCCAGATTATTGAAAATAATGTTGTTTCATCTGTATTTCTACCAACCACTCCTTGCACCACCCCAACACCACCACTGGAATGTTTTGAAGCAAATTCCAGACATTATATAGTTCCATCAGGAAACAGTTCAGTGCGTATCTCTATAAGATATGGCCTTATCAAAAAAGATAACTGGAACACATACAAAACGTTAACAGTAATCCTTTAAGATTCTCCAAAACCTAGTCAATATTAAAAATTTTCCAATTATTCTTCCAAAAATTCGTAAGGGTAATATATTAAGGATACTTTTTTGCCCTGTTTTTTTCTGTATGTTTCATGTACAAGTGCATTTTTTGTCTGAACTAATCAAAATACGATTAACAACAATAGGTGTTTCCAATGACAGTGGCTTATAATGAAAGTCTTGGACTGTTTAAATTCTAGGACACAGGCCTCAGTTGTCAACAGCTAGAATGAGATGAGCTACTTCAGAATCACTGTCATCAGTAGTTTTGTAAATGGAGAAAAGTTGACAGAACATAGCCCAAGTCAATTTCAAAGATTCATTTGTGAAAGTTAATTTCATAAATGACTTCACTACTTTATGGAGAGCTGAAAACTGCTTGAATATTCCCTATATCTATGTAAGAAAATAGTTTAGGTAGCTAGACGAAATGGATGAAATAGTTACTACAATCAGTAAATGCAAAGAAAGCAAAGGAAAACATAAACCAGACAAAATACATTTCCAGGACCAAATTTTTAAGTATTCTGTATTTTGTCATTTGTGAAATCACAAATAGGCATACACAGAGCCACAGTTAACATGCTTTTGTTGCTAACATAAATAAAGTTTGGGGCACTGCTGTGCAAGTCTACCAGACTGGACCCTGAGTTACAAATGATATATATATGTATAAAAGAAGTGTCAGAGACTAATTGGAAAGTTATAGTTGGGCATGACCAAATGTTGGAAACAAACTACAGAAGAGTAAGAAGACTTAAGCTAGAAAGAACAGACAGTTTTACCCGATAAAATGAGTTCAGTGAAGATACATTTCCTATTTGTAATATTTATATCAGGATTTATAGACGATCTTATTTGAGCTTCAGTAGGTCTGTGAGCGGTGCCCTAACTTACAAGTGAAAGTGCTGATTAAGTAGAAACACGTGGAAAAATAGAACCAAATTGCATCTGATAAAATCAGGATCAACATATAGTTTATTTGCAAAGGAAAATTTTTTTCACATAAATGGTTGCACCTACTGACTCGTCAATAATCTCCTCTATTAAAGGTAAAAGGATTTTTTTAAGTGTTAATTTTAAAGGGAGATTTTTCAACTTAAATGTTGGGCAAGAAAGTTCTCTAGTAACTGAAAATGACCAGTACTACTTTTGAAATCATTCTTCAAAACATATATATATATATATATATATATGTACACACACACACACACAAAGTTCTCTATCAAAGGCAGAATAAAAAGAAATCTTACCTCATCAGTAACTTGACATGTGCAAGTCCTTTGTGACTACAAACTCCTTCAGTTTACTCTACCACGGCTGGCAGCGCTATACACAAAGTAAACAATTGTTCCCAACTTTAGAGCCTGCAGAGGTCAGTATAGCAACAGCAACAAGACATCACATGGATAAGTTGATCAATACTGAAAGTGGACCATTAGATCACGTACTTATTATTTACACATACCAGCATCTTGAACATTAAGATGAAATTTCTAATAATTAGGATAGAACACCCTTTGAGTAATTTGCCTTTATAATATGTACATTTAAAGAAAATCAACATTTGTAATATCATTCTGCTTAAAAAAGTAGAGGCAGATAAGAAATGAAATTTAAAATTATTGACCAATTTATATAAAAATAAATGTCCTTTATGTATGCTGAAAGATTTGAAAAATGTTCTGTTCCTTTGAACTGGGAATTATATTCCTCACACATGATTCACCAACTTCTGGCACCCATCAGTCAAGCTCACTGTTAACCTAGGCAATGCTGTGATTTTTTTGACATTGATATGTAAGGAAAATTTTCGTATGTTTAGTAATGTTCCATAGAATTCAAAGTAAAAATTGCTTCAAAATACAATAATAGCTCTCAGGTACAATTCACAATTTTCCATACACACATTGAAGATAAGTATTTTAAACTTGAACATGTAAATGTGCACAAATATATGTGTGTGTTCCTTTTCTTCCAAAAATATTTTTGCAATTTGTTTTTTGTGAAAGTGAAGAATTGACAGGTTTTAGAAACTGTACTCTGATACCCAGAAGCTGGCTCCTCCATGATGACCTGTCAGTGACCTCGTCATGACATTGAAGGACTACCCTCTCCAGGGGTGAGAAGTAATTCAACTTCAATGGTTCCTCTGCTCCAGACATGTATAAAACAGAGACTATAAACATATACTGTAGGCTTGTTTTGGCTCCAGTTAAGCTGACACCATCAAACTCATTTAGTTTAGAACTTGCAGACATGGTTTCAGTATCAGCTCTCTGCTGCAGTCCAGAGGTTAAAGAAAAGCTAGCTAAAACCAACATTGGGCTTTTGCTGGGATAGTGGTTATAGCAGTTATCTGTTGTTAAGTAACTTCCTCATATTTTATAATACGTAATGCCGTAAGTGTCACTGTTTGGTGTTTCTAATGCCACTATGGATAGGCAAAGTCAAAAGCTTTTTCAGAAGATAGATAGAAAGCAAGACAGATTAAATAGGTGTAGTTTTAAAAAGAATAACTATTTACTCTTTTAAATTTAAGCTTTACTTTCCCTAAATGTGCTTTGGTGTGCACATGTGCAAAAAGTCGGTGAGGTAAGCATACAAGCAATAAATTTTTATTGTCCACAATTGTACACTTTATTTTCTTCTATTTTTATATTTATTGCAATTTTTATCTAAAATATTAAAAACTTCTCTGAAAACAACATCTCAGTGTTCCTATAGTATGGCCGTATTTCCTAATGCATGGCAGTATAATGGACTTTTAAAAGCCTATGAATTAGGCAAAGATAAATAACCTTACACTGGATATAAAATAAAATTAATATGCTAATTAATATCTAGATATTACATTCTATATCATACCAAAAAGTAAATATTGAATTTATATAAACTGGTCACTAATTAGGCTGCAAATAAAACCTAAAAAAATTCAAAATGCGTAACACAATGCAATAAAACCAATGATTAATAAGAAAGTACAAATTTAAAATGTCACATGCAATTAAAAAACAATTCTCAGGGCCAGGCCTGGTGACATAGTGGTTAAGTTCAGCACACTCTGCTTTGGTGGCCTGGGTTTGGTTCCCAGGCATGGACCTACACTGCACTGTTATCGGCCATGCTGTGCTGGTGGCCCACATACTAAAAAATAGCGGAAGATTGGTGTGGATGTTAGCTCAGGGCTAATCTTCCTCAGCAAATAAAAAAAAGAAAAAATGTTCTCACCTGAGTAATGCTAAGATTAAGGAGAATGTCAAGCCTGAAACAATCAATTGTTAAAATGACAATAATGGGAGTATCACAAAACAAAATGTATAGTGTGCATCCAAAACTGTAATCGGAGAAAAATTCAGAGAATTTAAAATTTAAAACAATTTAAAGAGAATTTAAATTTAAAAATAAGAAAAAAAATAAGTATTAACTTAAACAGTTGGACAAACGAAAGTAACCAGGGTTGAAAAAGCCGAAAAATATAAAATAAATAATGAAAAAAAAAATAATTTCTCCAAGATAATGTTCTTTGAAGAAAATCAAAATATGCAAATCTGTAATATAGCCAATCCAGTAGGCTTCCGGAAGATGTCACATCCTAACCCCTAGACCTGTGAATATATTATCTTATGTGGTAAAAATGACTTTGGAGAAGTGATTAAGTTAAGGATCTGGAAAGGGGGATTATCCTGAATTGTCCAGGTGGACCCAATGTGATCCCAAGATTCCCAGTAAGAGGGAGGCAGGAGAGTCAGAGAGATGTAAGGACTGAAAAAGAGGTTAGAGAGGAGAAAAGATGTTACACTGCTGGCTTTGAAGATGGAGGAAGGGGCCATGAGCTAAGGAATAGGAGCAGCCTTATGAAGTGGGAAAGGCAAGGAAAGGGATCTCCCCTGGAGCCCTCTGCAAAAAGAGCACAGCCCTGTGGACGCATTTTAGACTTCTGATATAATTATATCTCATATACATGCATATGTATAGTACATAAAATAAAGTATATATTGTATATAATAAAACATAACAGATTATGTAATTTATGAAAATCATGTTTTTATATAATAACATCGTATTGCTTTAAGGCACTAATCTTGTGGTGATTTGTTACAGTGGCAATAGAAATTAATACAGCTAAAACAAAAAGAAAGGAAAACAAAAAATCTCATAAGGAGAATTAAAGATAAGGCTGAACCTAGAACAATACGTATGGGTGGGATTAAAATTAGTGGATCACTAAATACAGCTTATTGCTAATAACTTTGAAAACTTGAAAGAATGCAAGAATCTCTTGAAATGATTCCAAAACTTGGCCAGGGAAGTATGCAAAAATATGTGGTATAATGCACTTCCAAATCTAGATACAAATGTTACTAAATAATTTCAGAGAATACCCAAAAGAATATTAAAAATAAACCACCATGATATATATTAACACTTTAAGTTTCAAAACAATCCCATGAGAAATGTGACATTATCCCCTTTTTATAGATGAAGAAACTGAGGTTAATGGGCCCTAAATTATATAGTTAATAAGTTTCAGAGCCAGTGTGGAAACATAGGGAGTCTGGTTTCAGTACTTATGTTGTAATGTTTTTTTTCCAAGAAGGCAAGGATGGATCAAAATAGAGATATCAATTTCAGTAAATCATTGAATCAATAATTCTGAAAAAGAAATATCATAATTTTGTCATATTTCAGAAAAAGATTTCATGAAATACAATATCCCTTTCTAAAAAAAATTGGCACAAACTAAAAGCAAAAAATTCTATGATAAAATTTACTCCAACAATAACCAGCATTTTACTTGATTTTGAAACATTGAATACATTTTTATTAAAATTAGAAACCAGACAACATGAAGATGTCCATTATCACTATTATTCAGGATGGTTCTGAAAGTTCTAAAGAATGCAATACAGGAAGGAAAAAAATGAGATGTTAATATTGGAAATGAGATAAAATTATCATTGCTAGAAATCACACAAATTGGTTAGAAAACTCAGAATAATTGATTAAAAGTGTTAGACCTAATAAGGAGGATCAGTAATGTGATCAGTTATGAAAATCAGTATGTTTGCAATATATTGCTATAAAAGTTTAGTCAATACAATAGCAAATTTTCTCATTCACAAAGCAATGAAAATATATAAAACCTATAAATGATTTTAAGATGAAGATATGTTCCAAACTTGTTTGAAACAACTCTATAAGGATTTGGAAAGAAGAAAAAGAACACTTCAATAATTGTTTTCCTGAAGTAGAAACATACTGAATCTAAAACTATTCCCCAAAATATTTTGTAAATTCAATTAAGAAATTTGAAAAACAATATATAACTTTTCTTAAGTGCTTTACTCTGGGGTAGACATTGTGTTAAGTAATATATGTATATGCATGCATGCGTTTTTAAGACTTACAGTATCTTATTGGTTGAGATAATCAGTCATTATTATTATTATTATTATTATTTACAAGTGAAGAAACTGGTGAAATCTAATTTATCTCTTCTTTTGGTCACCTGTGTTTTTTGGTGTCATATCTAAGAAAACATTGCCAAACCTTAAGATTTACTCTTAAGTTTAGAATGTTAGTGTTTACATTTAGGTCAATGATAAATTTTGAGTTAATTTTTGCATATTGTGTGATTTAGGGGTATAATTTCATTCTTTTGCGTGTGGATATCCAGTTGCTCAGCACCAGTTGTCAAAGAGTGTTCTTTCCTCACTGAATTTGCTTGGCACCCTTGTTTGTTGTTTAGTGACTTAACTGGACTAGGTTTGTGAAGTCTGTATTTTTGGTTGTGTGCAGGCATTGAAATCTCTGCTCAGTAAGCTTAGTGGTCAGTTAATGATGAGACAGAGATTATCTTACATGTCTTGAATTAATCATCCTCCCAGCCTTTGCCCAGTGGTTGTCTGTGTGTTTGACGGCATACTTCAATGCTCCAGCAGGCGGTCTACAACTCTGCATTAGCCTTCTATTCCTGCTCATGGAGAGCCTCAAGATCTAATGGTGAGCAATTAGGGTGTTCTCAGCCTTTCCTTAAGGTGTGCACAGCTCTGTACATGTGCTTGGCGTCCTAGATTCTCAGGAATATATCAGAGCTTTAGAGAGTCACTTATGGAAATATCATCCCCCAGATTTTCCTTTTAAGATTTTTGGTCAGCCTCTTAGTAGCTAGTATCCCAGCTCAGGCTGCTTTAAAGTTAAGTAATTACCAGTGATTACTTTCAAGAAATGCTCTGGGAATATGACTGTTCACACAGAGCAAGCTCCGAGTCGGATCAAATAAGGTCAACCTTGAGAATGGAGGTTTTCAGGGAGCTTCCAAATTG